ATCCATCCATCCATCCATCCATCCATCCATCCATCCATCCATCCATCCATCCAACCATCCATCCATTATCTATACCCATTTCTTCCTTTCAAGGTCACTGGTGCCATATCCAGCAGTCACAGTGTGAGGGGCAGCGTACATCCTGGACAGGTCTCTAGTCCCACACGGGGACACATATAGACAAACGAGACAAGCAACCATTCACTCTCAATTTAGAGTTATCAATTAACCCAACAGTCATGGTTTTGGTCTGTGGGATGAAGCCGGAGTGCCCGGAGAGAAACCACGCATGCACGTACAGAACATGCAAACTCTACCCAGAAAGATCCCTGGACCGGGATTTGAACTGGCGACCTCCTTGCTGAGAGGCATCAGCTCTACCAACTGAGCCACCGTGCCGCCCTGTTATCTAAAATGTTAGTGAGAGAGAATAGTTGTCTGTCCAGATGCCTGGACTGTCAAAGTGACAATATCCTGTGGAAACAAAACAGGCCCATGTCATCACACTTCCACTGCTGTGTTGACAGTTTTTTTTTTAACTCTGCTGGTTCCTCTGAAGGGAACGACCTGAGGTTCTGGTCCTGTGTGTTTTGTGTGCAGGAGTGGACGGATGGCTGGCGAGGAGGTTGGACCAGGTGTCCAGGTTCGGGGCGTGGCTGGACGTGGTGGTGGACAACCTGAGCAGAGGCATGCTGTGGAGCCTCCTGTTTCAGGTCCCGTTCAGAACCTGTACTCAGGGCTCAGTCACATAAATCTAGTTTCTTTCCTCTGAGGCATCTGGCCAAGATAAGGCCAGTTTTTAATTGAAACATGATCCATGCCTTCGTTACAACCCAGCTACACTGCTGGACCGCTCTGTATGCTGGGATCAGTGTGCCTGCAGTCGCATCTTTACAGACAAGATGTTTCCAGCACATTTATTTAATCTGCAACAAGATAACGTAATCCCATCACACCTGGTTTAAAATCTCTCCATCGGTTGTGATCTATTTAAAATTCTGATTAGTTCTCAGATCTTTAAACAAATCTTGCCTCTCCTTGTGTATATATATATAT